TGCTGGAAAGAAACGAAGCAATAAAACATTAATTATTTGCAACAAGCTTTGGAATGTATCTACGCTAAACCATTTACAGAACCAAGTTATTGCCGCGGGCAAATTGGCACACGTAATCTCACTCGCAGATACATATACGTACGCACACAAATTAGCACTCATAGACATATACAGAATATAAAAAAGATACACAACTACGTCTTTCTGAACGATGGAAAACGCAAACATCGGAAGACTTCGTTTCATTTCTATTTTTTTTAGTAATTTTCATTGTTTTTTTTTTTAAATTTTTTGCTTTTTAAGGAACAACGCATCAATCTTCGAGTTGATGATAGGTTCTGAATTGAAAACGAATTACACTCAAATGTGGCAAATATTTGAGAGTTTTGATAAATGTCTTCATATGTAAGAAGGATTTCGCTCTCGATAATGTACAACGTCATAAGCAAACATCTTAGCTAATTGCATTAAATACGTGCATATAAGTCAAATGGCACGGTTGGTGGGGCATATATACTTGTGTGTGTGTGTGTGTGTGTGTGTGTGTGTGTGTGTGTGTGTGTGTGTGTGTGTATTTTATGGATGCGGAAAATTCATCTATATTATTATACTCATTGACTGTCCATTTTAAAATATTTAGATAGTTATGATTTTTTTTTTTTTTACAGTGAGGTTCACCCTGCACAAATCCCGGGAGTCATTCGATGTAGAGGGTTACAGAGTAAGAGACACAGTTTATGTAGATATGTCGGGAAGATAACAGTTGACCCTAGACTTGAACAGGTTAAGATTGCAGTTATTCAGGGGGAAAAAAACTTCTGGGAGTCGGTTCCACATACGTTGTCCGCGGGAAGAATTCACTCGAGTGGAACTTCTCGCCAATGGAATACGAGGGTGGTTCCCTGCAATGTGCATGGCATGGCTGGTCTTAGCCGTGAAGGTTAGAACTGGTAGAACTAAAGAATGTATTTCGTCTGAGCATTTTCCATGGAAATAGCGATAGGGCAGCGAGAGGCTTGCAAAGATTTGTCTGTGTAAGAATGGCTGTAGGGTGGAAAATAATTTGTCATGCACAAGGACTTGGGGTTGCTTTCGGATGTTATTAAGACTGGAAAGTGAGGACTGGGCAGCTCCTGTCCAAATATGACAGCAGTTCTTTATTTTAAGCTTGATATGACTCTTTTAAGAGGATGGCACAAAGATTCAGTGAGCCGACCATTTTTTCCGTATCTTTAGTCCGGATTCCAATTGTAGTCTGGGTTCTGTTTAAGGCCCAATACTCGCTCAAGGTACGAGACCTTCTCGTGTGAATATCCATTCATCGTGACAGACGAATTTCATCTTTTTGGTTTGCGATCTTCTCTCTTTCTTCGGAACTCTTTTTTTCATCGCTTTATTCTTCATTTCATTTATATTACTCATTCTTTTCTATTCATTTCTTTCTTTTCTTATACCTTTTCCTGTAGAATTGGGGTTTTTTAACCCCAGAATTCGTTGGATAATTGTGCTCCAATTTCGCATTTATTCATATAGATTCCAAAATATAGGTTTTACTTAATTCGCTATTTATGTTTCTCTAAATGTTGAATATATAACTAATTCTAATTTCTATTTTTCCATCTTTACATTATATTAATTTTATCGTATATCTATAAAATTAATATAATGTCCCCTGTTCTGTCACCCATGAAATAAAAATAATTGTTTGTACAGAAAATAAGGATCTACGTACATAAGATCGTCTTTAAATTAAGTGTCAGCAGAAGAATTATCGTTGAACTTTTAAAAGGTAAGCTTAAACATTAATTCAATGCTTAAATGCAGCGATCAATTTTGAGTTCTACTGCAGTTTATTGATGCCTATTGCATCTACTCCTCCCTAGGTATTGTGATGATGGCCCAACCAGGAGACCTCCACAGGAGTTAGCTTAAATGCCGCTAGCTAGTTTATAATAAAAATGTGCTCTGCAATTTTGGATGCAAAAGGAAGATCAGAGTTACTCCCCTTGAACCATGAAAGCAACGATAATGGACAGTATAATATATTAATATATATTTTAACTTCGCATAATCTTGCAACCCTGAATCTGAGCTCAATGAAAATCATTCCCTGAGCGTAACTTTTCTATGGCTTTTGAATGAGCTTTGGGTCATTGAAATCGGACCAGTGGGAGCGGAGGAGTTGCTTGGACACACACACACGCACAAACACACACACACACAGTACTTTATATATAAGATTTTTTCTTTTCGTTTCTTTGTTTTGTTATTCGTTTTACTTTTTTCGTTCCTCTTCCTTTTTCGCCCTCTCTCTTTCCCCTATTTCTTTTTTATCCCTTTCTTTTTTTCTTGATTCTTTTTCATTCCTTTCTTTTAGCTCTATATCTTTCCCCCCGCCCTTTCTTATTTTTATTTCTTTATCTTCACTTTCTCTTTCCTTATTTCTTTTGCGTCTCTGTTTCTTTTTTCTCCCTTTCAATTCTCCCTATTTCCATTTTTGTTCATTTCATTGTTCTCTATTTCTTTCACCTCTATCCTTTCTTTTCTTTTCGTCCCTTTCTTTTTTCTTTTCTTTCGTTTTCGTCGATTTCTTTTCTTTCGTTCTTTTCCGTTCCTTTCTCTTTCCCCATTTTCTTTTTAGTTCATTTCTTTTTTGTTCAACTCCTTTCTTTTTTTATTTTTTCGTTCGTTTCCTTTCTTTTCTTTTCCCTCTTTTTTTCTTTTTCGTCACGCATTTTTATTTATACATTCAAATCTAAGAAAAAAATTTTAAAAAATGAAAATATATTCAGGTAAAACGCTTTCTTGTGCATTGCTAGAAATATTTTTTTAAGTACCATAAATTTCGAGGAACAAGTCTTATTTGCAAAAATAGGGGTCGACTTATATGGCTAGTATAAAATGTAAACCATTACCACCGAGTTGTAAACAAGTGACACAGCACTTCTAACAATTACTTTACACTACTTAACGTACCCCCAGCAGGTTGTCACAAATATATCCTACTATAACTTGTTCGGTGAATATATTTGGCATATTAACACAGAAATTAATATAAAATAATAAAATAGTAACAAAAATTCAGTATTCTATTAACGCTACAGCGTCCATCGCGTCCAACAGCTGATACATTGACCAAAGCGCTGTTTAACTCAGGTAACCATGCAGGTATGGTATGCGTGTCATCTGCGCAATTTTATGATAGTAATGACAGTAATATTTTATAGTTGTTGATGCTGACTTTAATGTGACTATTTCAAAACTTCCCTAAGTTATCACGATACAATATACCATTAGTTACCAGTGTGTTGCAGGTTGTTTGCTATACAACACACATAAAAATATTACGGTTAGTATCTCAATATACAGGTAAGTGGTGTGACCTTTGTGTAGTTTTCGCACAGGTTATTGTATACTGTAGCTTAACTTCATTTACCGGTAGGCCTAGGTTTTGAACCTCTGGTAGTCTACAGAATTTTTAGCATTGGCCTATAAGTAGGTATAAGCCTAAATCAAAATTTTGATATAAAAATTTTGAGGTCGACTTGTCCACCGCAATTTATGGTAAACATCATTGCAAAACTATTTTAATAGGTACCAATAGGTTCATAGTCTTCGTTTAATTAAAGATATACAAGAAGTCTCTATTAGTACGGCTAATGTGTATATCGGTAACTATACATAATCAATTTTCAATTACTGCATTAATATTATGTATTACTACACTAGTATTATGTATGAACTAATCGAATTTTGGTACATAACAATTTTTGCGCATTAATCGAATGCGCATTAATAGAGGTATGCCTGTCTTTACCTATTTTTTAATAGGAAGAAATTGTGTTTAAATCAACAATAAGTTACACTCTTGTGCAAATTAACTGAAACAAAACGAATAGTTTACCTTTTTTTTTTTCGTATTTTTTCAATGAAACATGACCCAGTTCACATGTTAGTACTACGTATATCGATTCCACGAAGTCGTTACTTGCAGATTGACCACAGATTATCGATTGGATTTAAATCAGGAGAGTTTCCGGGCCAGTCTAGAGTACCTTGATTTACTCACTGGTAAGGCTTACCAGTGTGTTCATGCAGCTTTAAGACAACTAATCGACACTCGAGACTATAGTGTCTTGCCGGGATAAAAATCTGATGCAATCACTGATGACGCAATATATTTCAAGGCCAAACAATTTCCTCATACACCCCGAAAATAGATTCATATTAATACACACCACTGCAAATGACCTAATCTGAGGGAAAAATAGAAATTGATCACACCCTATCACTACAGTGGGTCTAAAACTGACCGTAGAGTGAAAGAAAGGAAACTAAAGTGCTTGTTTCAATAAATTTGCACATGGGTCTAAATGAATACGAGAGACTAGCCTTGTATTGTCTCATTGATCTAAAATCGAATTCCAGTTTACTCGAAAATAAATTAATCGTATATTTATAAAAAAAATTGTTATTTTCTAGGCGACTGGATTGTTGTTGAAATTATTTCTTTTCAAAATAGAAAGCAAAGAATGGGATCACAAGAAGAATATGAGGAAAAAGAAGTTTCCCGAAGGATGAGGAAGGAAACCAAAACAAGAAGACGAGGTGAAAAAATCACTACAAAGAGGTGCATAGAAACCAAAAGAGGAGGGGTGGAAGAAAGAGATAGAAACAGCAGGATGTGGAGTATAAGTAGTTAAATAAAGGCAGGAAAAGAGGCGGGTGGAAACAGAAAAAAGCGAAGAGAAATAATATAGAAAGAGGAGGATCGGAAACAGAAGAAGAAAAGAAAAAAATGGAAATAGAAAGAGTGGGATGGAGGGACGAAGAAGAAAAGGAAAAGCAAAGACATTGAAAAGGGAGGATGGAGAACAAAACAGGAAAAGCAAAAAGAAGGACATAGGAAATTTAATATTTGGAACAGAAGAACAAAACAAAAACGAAGGTTATAGAAAGAGTAGGATGTAGAATAGAAGAGAAAAGGAAAAGTAAGGATATCAAAAGAGTAGGATGTAGAACAGAGGAAGAAAAGGAAAAGTAAGGATATCTAAATAGAAGGATGTAGAAAAAAGAAAAAGAAAAGAAACATCTAAAGAAAATGGAGAATGAAGAAAATCTAAAGATTAGGATGGAGAACAGAAGAAAAAAAGGAAAAGTAAGGACATCTAAATAGTAAGATGTAGAACAGAAGAAGAATAGGAAAAGTAAGGACATCTAAAGAGTAGGGTGTAGATCACAAGAATAAAAGAAAAAAAAAAAAAGCAGAAGTAAAGGAAAAAGATCGCCATAGAAAGTGTAAGCTGGAAAGGAAAAAGACGGCCACAGAAAGAGTAGGAGGGAAAACAAGAAGAAAATGAAAAATGTAATGGAAATAGGAAGATATAGATTACAAGATGAAAATGTAAAAAAAGACCTTAGACAGTTTAGGATACAAAGCAGAAGAGAAGGGGGGAAAAAAAAACTAGAAATATGAGGATGGAGAAATGGAGAAGAAACGGCAAAAAGTAGGATATCAAAAAAGTAGGCTGAAGAAGAAGAAGAAGAAGAAGAAGAAGAAGAAAGGAAGTAAACTATAGAAAGAGGTGGATGGAGAGCAAAAGAAGAAAAGTAAACAAAGTTCATGGAAATAGTAGAATGGATAACAGAAATGAAAAAGAAAATGACGGTCTTAGAAAGTGTAGGATGGAGAGCAGAAGAAGGAAAGTAAATAGAATGATTAAGATGGAGAACAGAAGAATAAAAAGAAAAGTATGGCAATATTAAGAGTATGATGCTTAACAGAAGAAGAAAAGTATAAAGAAGGCCATAGAAAGAGTAAGTTTTGGAGGAGAAGAAGGAAAGGAATATGAAGTCCATAGAAATTAGAGGATGGAGAGCAGAAGATGGAAACGAAAAAGAAGGCCATAGAAAGAGTAAAATGGAGAAAAGAAGCAGAAAAAGAACAATATAAAAATGGTAATAGGAAGCAGAAATAAATTACAGTCTAGAAAGTTCCCCATTTTATTAACTTTGTAAAGAATGAATCTGGCTGTTGTCTTTTTCTTGTGTTCTGACAAGAGCTTTCTTTTCTGGACAAAGGTGTGTAAGAACTGTCCAAATGTTCTATATTTCCGAGCGCTTTCGGCTATACCTTTAGCCATTATCAAGGATGATTCGATTATCAGCTTAATTTTTTTAGGATGGGTGGTTTGATGGATGGCGGAGGGATGGAATTATTATTGTATATAGTGTTGAGGATAATATCAATACATGCATAAAGGAAGGATTGATGCCTAAATATACACACACACACATATATATATATATATATATATATATATATATATATATATATATATATATATATATAAATTTTATCACTGCCATAAACAAACAATAATTAATTTTATTATTACCACTCATCAACATGCATCAATATATATATATATATATATATATATATATATATATATATATATTCGTTCAATTCCAGTCGAGTTCGTTTGCATTCACTTACGTAGCTCATACACTTGGGAAATACATGAATCCATCTACCATCCAACCAGCCATTCGGAAATTGTTAATTATTAGGACAGACTGGGTCCTATAACCTTGGGTGACAACCAGTCGAAATAAAGGACACTGCTAAATGAAAAAAAAAATACTTAGCAATCCTTTTGTGACGACCTTGTGGAACAACGTGCAGCAGTTTTCTTTATTCGGATCTTCCACAAAATTCCTTTTGAGTTCGTACTAACCAGAAGGAAACTATGTTCATTTTATTTAATCCCCAAAATCTACTGAATTAAATATATTTACTAATTTTTCAAACTTAATAGCTCAGCATGTTAAATTTATATTTTCCTTATACGTATATTGAGCACTTTTTAATACTACTGTTTTCTGGTCTAATTCAACTCTGACCAATAACCTTCATCCTATATATAAGAGAGAATACGAGACTGGCACCCTATATATTAGACGAAGAGTGAGTAACTGAACCACAAAATGGAAAAAAAGCGTTTCTTCATTCGAAAGGACTTCAGACTAAATACGTTTTATGTTGGATCATATATATATATATATATATATATATATATATATATATATATATATATATATATATATATTAGGGATTGACTTAAAGGATGTAGTTTTTTCAAAGATAGAGTAATTTATTAAGTTGATGTATATAAAGCGTACAAATTTCTGAGTCCCCAAAGTAAAAAATATACGCCCAGACTCATACAGCATATCACCTTTCTTAAGACTCTACTGCCATTGTCAGGTGGCATATTTAAAAACAATTGTGACAGAAAGCTTAGTGAAGTCGTCTAAGATTGTGCATCTATACACATCAGCCACCAGAAATAAATTTAAAACTTAAAGTTAAACGTTTCTTTATTTTCAGCCTTTATTTCAATGTATAATTATAACCAACTTTCTCTTTCTCTCTCTCTCTCTTTCTCTCTCTCTCTCTATATATATATATATATATATATATATATATATATATATATATATATATATATATATATATAATTACATCAATAAAAAAAAAGATTATTCAGTCCGAAGAAGGCAAGGATTATGGATTATGGCAGCATTCACCAACTTAAACAAGGGGACCATACCAGAAAAGTTGCAGGAGATTCCGATGTCATCTGAAAGCCGTGGTTGAAGCCAATGGCGAGTTTATTGAATACATTTACTCTTTAGTATTTCAAGATATTTTTTGTGTAATTTTCATAAATATATCTATTAAAACGAGATATCATTGGTGTTTCCATTTTTGCGTTATTTAGACAACTTATCCATCCCTGTCTCTCTGTCTGAAAAATACCCCACAGAATGACGAACAAAAATCATGGAATTTTAATTGGGATTTAACCAATCCATCTAATTTCGTGAAAGTACAAAATTCTATGGTCACTACATTCTCCTGATCTGACATCTCCTGGATATTTTTTCGTGGGGTGATGCATTAATGAATGTCTATAGATAATTCATCAACTCAAAGATAACATCTGTGCAGAAATTTGAGAGCTGCAGCCCGGGTTATTAACCACTCTTATGATAAATGTTATTGAAAGAGTATCTTTATGTGAAGTTAAAAAATGGAGGATATTTTCGTTGTATATTTTTTCATAATTAAATGAAAATATTTCTGAAATGAGGTATTATGTACATTATTTACAATATTCGGACTATTGTCCTCATCTTTGTCGCCATATTTATCACAACGTTTCGGCCGTTGTACGCTCCGGGCTTCTTCAGGTGGTTGGAATTTCGAACTGAACCCTTTATTTCGCTCACTGGGGTAGACTGTTCTAGTTCCACGTGCCATGTTTGATGGATGTCAGTTATCAGTTATCTCCTGCTAATTTCCCTCTGAAAGTTCTCCACTGCCTTAACCGGGTATTGAACTCACACTCTTTGGGTCCTGTCACTGGATCTAACCAACGCCTTTATCCACGTTGTGATAAAGATGAGGACAATAGTCCGAATAATATAAATAAAAATGAAAATAATGTAAATGAAAATACATTTCCAATGTTTGAATTTTCATTCCGCATAAAACTATTTTTGAATAATAAAAAAAATCTTGAAATTTCTCATTTTTTAAATCCCCAGGTGACTTCTGGCACAACCTGAAAATAAGAATCATGATAAAATTCGAAATTTTAATATTTCTAAATGTTCCTGTCTATTAGGAATTACATCTTGTCAAATATGTTCTTTCTCTATGTCGACATTTCAATTATTATCCTTAGTAAATAAATATTTTCTTTTTTCCTATCTAGTTCGACGATGGTTTTTCCGATTAATCTCTTAAAACGAATCATAAAACGAATCTTTATAAACGTCTACATAGAAAATGTCTGCTATTTTTGTATTAATCATTTAATGTGTTCATTTTGGATTTGGTATAAATTCCGAGTACTTCAAGACATTTTCTTAAACTATCAACATTATTTAAATATGAAAAGACAGTGTACCTAACCTCTGAAATGTTGTCGTTCGTTAAATATTCTTGCATAATTTGCTTTTTAATATAAACAGTTTCTTTTTACTTATTTGTTAAAAGAAAGCAACCGAACTACTGATGGCAGGTTTATAACAAGATGAATGTCAAGTTATAGCATATGGTGGTGTGTGTGTGTTTTTGTTTGTATATATATATATATATATATATATATATATATATATATATATATATATATATATATATATATATATATATATAATATGTTTTTTAATGCTTTGTCCTGATAGTTGGATTTCGTTGCGATAAGACGTGTGTTTGAAAGAAAGTGATTTCTTTACATATAAAGAAATCAAAAGGATTATTCTTTTCATCTACAGAATTTCGAAGAAAATAAAACATGTCTTCAGACTTGGTCTTCGGTTGATAATGTTTAATATATATCAAAGCAGGGCTTCTCGAATAACTCAGCGAAGTAAAACGGCTCAGGTCACTTGGTCATGGAGCAGTGGCTAGCAGTGAGTTGATCATAACTGCAGCAGTGAGTTCAAACCTTACTAAGTGCATCACACTTCTTTAATCCCATTTCTACCTAATTCAAGGCGGAGAGCCACTCAAGATAGAGGGTTGCTGAACGAGTCATCGACGCAAGAAGATTAGGTAAGAAGTGAAGATTAAGAGGACAGGAAAATGGATAAAGGTTGACCCTAAAGAGGTTAAGTTTATAATGATCGGGGAAACATCATCTCGGGAGTCGGTCCCACAAAGCAGCTGTTCTTGTGAAGAAAGTTTCCCTATGGAACTTCCTCCTTACTAATGGAATACGGTGAAAATGGGGGGTGATTTAATCCTGTGTACATGGCATGATATGTCTTAGCTGAAACGGTCTAAACTGGTGGAACTAAAGAATGTAATCAGAGAATTTTCATGGAATTAGCGATAGAATAGCGATAATCTTGTGACGTTTCCTTTATGGGAAAGTGGTTGTAGGGTGGAAAGTAATTAATCACCTACAAAGCCACATAGACGCTTTTGAAGGCTCTCGAGGCTGGAAATAAAGTATTGTGCAACTCCAGCCCAGATATGGCAACAATATTCCATTTTTGGTCTGATTTAGCTCTTGCAAACATAGAGCATGGGAGGAGATGGCAGGCTGTTTCTAGAAGCAGACCCTTTTTCCAGAAACTTTAACGATGGATTGTTGGTATGATTTAGAGTGTAGGGGAGTTATAACTCAGTAAATAATCATACCCCCCCCAACATTTATATATAGAAAAATACCCATAAAAAATGAGAAACAGCACACCGTGGAAACAACAAAACAAGTCTTATTTATTATCTAGCTATTTAGTTTTGAAGACACGAAATAAAGTAATACTGAGTAAAATTGTGATTTTGAGGAAAAATTTCAAATATGGATCGAAATCCGACTCACGAAAAAGCAAGGTGTATACAATATTTCTAGTATACTTTTTTTAAGATGTGTATACTTTGTGTTCACACAATTTAGTTACTAAGTACAAAAAGTATTTATCTTGAATTTTTGTTGCGTGCTAAAAATTAATTTTTTACTCATATGGCCTGAAAATGAAAATGAAACCAAATTTTCGTTGACGCACGTTATAACGACGTGTCTGTGTGAACTGCTTGGCTAATATTGAGAATGTCCCGTGTTTATGTGTGTAGACAAGAAAAGTGAGGTCGATTCTTATTAATTCAGAGTGAGTGAATTAATGGGAATTATAATTATTTTATTATAAGAATTTTTGACTCTATAATTACTATTTATTTATTTTTTTATGGACACGACACCTTGACAGTATTTTATTGACATTTTTATTTATGTATTTCTTTATGGACACGACATATTCCATAAAAGAAGATTACTATT